AATCAGAACTTAACTGATCTTCATCAACTGTCATATCTAACTGACCCTCTTGACAGACGTTCAAATCCTCCACACAGCATCCATTCCAAAACCCCTCCCCCTCTCTGTCACTCACCAATCATATCACTTGCCTGATTCCAGCACTCTAGATTATCATCACAGCCATGCAAACCAAACTTTTAAAGCCACACACACACACAGTTAAAAATTGAAATCATTACAACCTGGTTCTCCACCTCACCCTCCCAGGCAGTCTAAAATTCTACCCTGTAGAACAGCTGTTGCTTTGCAAACCAGAAGGCACACCTCGAGTGGGTGTGTGAGGGGGACCTTCCTGGCCAGGCCGTCAAGACAGAACTATCGCCTCCCTCCCTGCAAGAAGGGCTGCTCTTCAGACTCCTCCACAGATCAGCGGGGGGAGCTGCCTGGCTTTACCACATGCCCTGCCGTATCTGCCGGGTTCCTACATCACTGAGTGCCTGGCTGTGGGTCATGTCTGTGGGGTGGGGGTGGAGAACTGCAGTATTATTCCCCCCCCCTCCATGGGCTCAGCCCTCCCGGCTCACCTTTCCTCGTTTGCCCCCCACCACTGAACTGGCAGCCACAGCCTCATTTCCCTTGCCGCCCTCCAGGGCTGGCTTGGCTACCTCTTCGTCACTGTCCGTCATGAATTCATCGCCGCCCTCCTTTCTGGCTGGACTTCTTTCTGGAAACAGCTCGGCTAAAATGAAAAGCACTCAACTTCAGATCTGCATGAACACTGGTGGGTATGAGGGTGACTCTAGCAGAGAGCACCAATGTGTGCGGCAAGGACCGGGACAGTAACTGGGCTGAGCGGCCAAAACATTCAGGTGTGGAAATGGGGTGATTTGACCCCCACATCCATTAATGTTAACTTCTAATCCTCAGTGCTGAGTTGATGTCTCTTCCCTGACCCTAGATGCTACACAAGAATGCTGCACCCTCTGAAAGTGTTGGATATTGTAACCCTGCATGCGAGAGGATCTGGGAGGGAAAGGGCTGAGAGGATTCTCTCACTGGGGTACACTTGGGCAGTTGGTCCCCCCCCCCATCACTTAGCTGCTGGGCCTCTTTGGCCACTGCTTTTGCCTTCTGATTTAACTTATATAGGACCTCTCTTCTTCTCTCTCTTACCTGGGCTTGGAACTGTAGCAAATTACAACTTTCTGAAGCTAATCGTTTCACAATAAGTTAAAAGTACCTACATGCAGGGGTCATTTCCTGCGGGAGCGCACAGGAGCAGAGCTCTGGGGCACCTTTAAGACCAAGTTTATTCAGGTACAAGCTCTCCCTCCTCTGCGAGGACAGATCTGCACATCCCCCCCCCCATTAGCTAACAATCCAAAACAGTCCAGTGACACCTTTAAGACCAAGTTTTATTCAGGTACAAGCTCTCCCTCCTTTGTGAGGACAGATCTGCACGTCCCCCCCCCACAATAGCTAGCAATCCAAAACAGTCCAGTGGAGCCTGAGTGGTGGATGTTGCCTTCTGACACACTTCCACTGATGTCAGGGGGCATGGCATACGCAAATAAGTTATGCTAATGATCTCCTGTACCTCTTTTTCTACGAAATGACCCCTGCCTACATGAATAGGTCATGTGTGAGATGTCCCTACATCTATATTTTTGTATATAAGATTTGTTTGAACAGCCTCTTCCCTTAACTGGGAAATGTGGAGAATTGGTGATTCTTTTTTTTCCTTTTTTTTTTTGAGAATTGAAATTTATTTATTTGGAAGGAAAAGGAGATCATTATGCAGAAACATTTTAAAGGTACAAGAAGGCCTGTCTGTATTTGAGAGATGATGCCTGCAATCACCTGGACTAACTAACCTCTCAACTTGTATACATTTTATACAATTCAATTCAAGTTTATTACGGTTATAGACCAGTATAATAGAATACAGTTACAGGAGCAGTAAAATTATAAAATATATTGGCATCTAAAATTATAAATAGGATCTAAAAACGTTAAAATACAGAAATAATAGAATCAGAATTTTGATTAAAAATTAGGTTTAGGCCTATCTGTCCTTTATCTCTTTCCTAGTTTGGTATGCCAACCAACCAAATTTGGCAACCATCCTAGTCAACTTTTGATTATCTCCTGCCAGCATAATTGACAAAAGTATCCTTCTATCACGACCTGGAAAGGAATTAACTATAGGCTTGATCAAAACTTCCCTGGTATTATGATATATAAGACAATCGAAAATTACATGTTCCAATGTTTCATCAGATCCCATCCCACAAATACAACTTTTCCTCAATGATCTAGTAAATCTGGCCTCCATTATGGCTGAGGGTAAGGCGTTGTATCTTAATAGGGTAAAAATTCTTCTATGATTGCTGATATCTAAATATTTGATGTAAGGTCTCACAGCTATCTTGTTAAGTGAACTTACATCAAATACAGGGCTCCTAATCCTGCTCACGTCCATCTGTCGTTCGACATCTAATATTCTTTGTTTTAGAACTGATCTAGCCTGATTGTGTCCCAAAGACAGAATAAACTGTTTTGAAAAACCATAACATAATTGGGGATTCTGCGAAAAAGCTTCTACGCTTCCAGATGGTTCGCCTCCTCAGAAGGCTGTAGTCCATCGTGGACCACCTCACTCCAACTGATTGCTGTGATTCTCAGGAAAAACCCTCTGAATTAGGGGGGGGCTGAGGGTCTGATCCAGTAACTGTTAGGATCAGTTAACACATTAAGAGATCCCAATCATGGGACAGGGCGGGGTATAAATTAAATAAATGAATAACCACCACCACGCCATCTTGCTTTTCCAGTGTGGCACAGCAGCTGACCACAGGGAAGGAAGCCAGTGGGGATCACCACTCAGTCCTGGCTCTGCTATTCCACTGCTCTGCTTCAGCAGGCCTGCCCACACACTTCGAAGCCCACCACCAAAGCCCCGAGGACTACAACTCTGCGTTTCTTGGGGGGGGGGGGGGGACGACGACACCTGAGTCAAGCTCTTTGGGCAACTCACAGCTCCTCTTCTGGGTTACACTGAGACCCCACCCCCACCACCTCCTCTACTCTACTCACGCGGGTACAGGTCGGTCATGCTGTCGTCTGTTTCCTCACCACCCTCGTCACTGGGCAGAGGCTCCCAGAACTCCTCCTTCTGGCAGGGCTGCCGGCTGCAGTTTGGCTGCTGGTCCTGTTGCTGCTGCTGCCGCCGCCACTGCCGGCGCCGCCTCTGGAGCAGGCAGGCCGGGACATACTCCACACCCGCCTTCTGGCATTCTTCATCTGCAAGAGGAAAGCTGCTCAACAGCACTGCTGGGACTTCTTTTCAGAGAGGACATCAGCTCGTCCCCAAAGCCGTTGCCACGACATGACAAGGAG